CGAAGGGTTGGAATAATAAATTCAAAAAGGAATATCAAATTGGTAAATTCAAAAGGTCAAACAAAAATATTGTAGTAGTTTGCAAAATAAAAATCTTATACTACGAATACAAAACAAATGATGTATATTACCTTGTAATTACTTTTTTTTACTGTTCAACTTTTATTAAGCAACCCGATTACTATAGTTTCTATAATTACTCGCATCTTTGACCAACTGCCGTTTGCCTAATTTCAATATACATTATGCATAATGACTTACAAAAGATAATTGAAAACTGCGCTACATTTTTGTTTGTATTATGCAAAATAAAGAATATTTATTTCTATTATCGACGCTTTATAATAATTGTCCTAAAACTAAGTTAAACAAAACATGTGTTTGTTGGGGGCAGAATTTGAAGACAAATATAATTTACAACAAATAACACAACAGTACAACAATCGCATATTACCGGTCAACGTGAAGTAGGAAAAACAATATTATAATATTTTGTTTTCATGCACTGTTGCATAGCTTTATTGTTCAAGTAAAAATAACAGTTTAGCAAAATGTGGACAGCCGCTTACCTAAGAGAATAATGTATGAGACGTGTTTCTTTTGTGGTGAAGAGATCCTGAAATTGGATTAGTCCAGCCGGACGATATGGACCAAAAAAAAAAAATAATAATATCTCTCGCCGACCCCAACGGTTTTTGTTCGAATGAGAATTTTGTGTTTTTATTAAATCTCCGTCGTTTAATATCCACATCGAATACACGGCATTGGAGAGTGTATCGAATAACATAATATTGCAAGTACCGTCTAGGTCAGCTGTTCCAGTACGAATGTTTGACATCATTATTGTGATTTTCTTATTATTATGACAACATACGTTCCCCGGGGCGACCCGGTGGCGTTTTGTGGGATAGTTGGTTCAATTTTTTCGTTTTACATTATTATTATTATTTTTTTTTTTGATTTCTAGTGCTTTTGATTTCGGTAGTTTTGTGAACTTGTAAGAAAAGTTTCAATATCGAGAGGGGACCACCGCTGTACGCTACCATGCATAACACGCCAAGGTACAACGTCAACGTTAGGGTGGGCAATTGGGTGGAAGAAACTTTTTTGCAAGGCGTGAGTTGAAAATTATCGCTTTATCGCACCTACTGATGTCAGTTGACTTTGAATGAATTATGCCGCGTTTTGTTTATGGCCGCCGTAATGCAGGAGATCGTTCGGTCGTTTTTGGAAAAAAGAGACAAGGGCGAACTGCTGATACAAAAAACAAGGAAAATGTACGCCAGTCTTTTGAAACCCGTAAGTGTTAATCGATGTACGTATATAATAATAAAAAAAAAAATCTCAGCTAAATTATCGTTAATCGTTAATTCAACAGATGTGTAAAAGAAAAAAAATATTTGTGGAACGTTAGAAATTGTTTAGAGCGAATGCAAAATTGTCAGACTTGCGTTGGTTTTGAGCTCAAAAACAAAATTCTGTTTTCTTCTTGAACTGTTTATATATATATATATATATATAATGTTTAATGGCCGTTGAGTTTTCTTCGTGAAGATTTTACACTTTAAACTTACACCGCCGCGCTATAAGTCTTCCAGCCGTGTTCCCGGCCGGTTCCTCCCCGTGGAAATGAGATGAGTTTTTTTACTATTATTACTTTTTATTATACGGTTATCTTCCTTACCGCGCTGGAAGTATTTTAAATCGACTATTACGCTCCTTGTCCCATTAGACCACTATCTTAATACTGAACATCAGTGCGACAAATCCGAGTAACGCGAAAATCTAATGAGCTTTGCAGATAGGATTTTCGGTAGACGCTATAAATATAATACATATACATTTGTCTTTATTAGAGAATTTATAGCTCCCACTATGCTACATTATTTTTCATATTATTTAAATGAATCCTCCGAGGACGTGCGCAAACGTCGATCAGATTTCATAAATAGCGAGTTTCGCCTAATCAACATAATAGTAAAAATAAGCAAACAAAACATTTGAATTATAAATAACAGTTTATTTTACTTTAATCAAAGTCTTAAGTTTGTCTATATTTCAAGATAAACAAATAACATCATTTAATTAGAAATTGAATCTTGATACAAAAATGTTTGTTTGTAATTGTTTTTTCTATTTTTTTTTTTTTTTTTACAAAAAGCTTTAGTAATTTTTGTGTTTCTAATCAGGGAGCTTAATTTTTTTTATACAATATAAAGCGTGTTTTAATAAATATCTTAAGTAGCATAATTTATTTACGTCAAAAATTGACATTGGTCCATCCGATCCATGACAAAATTATTTAACTGTCGACTGCAATAAGGTACCAATTACCATTCTACACAATACCGCAATATTCCTAATTATATTTATATTTAAATAAAAGATCACGAAAGTAACAAAAAAAAAAATGTACATTCATATTTGTTTATTTTCAATAGTAGTTTCTTTATTCTCCAAAAAAGAACAGTAGAATAAAAAAATGTTTAAATAAAACAAAAATACATTATTTTATGCATACCGGAAAATATAGAATACTGAATAATAATAAAGCATTAGTTTTAAAAATTTAATTTTTAAATCGTAGGAGCAACTGAATGAGTTTGATTTTTATACTGGCTAATAAAATAATTTAACAATACAATTTAACCGTAAGTTGTGGGTACAACATTAAAAGTTTTGCGGGCAAAGTTTCCAATCGATTATTTACTAAAAAGTGTCCGAGTGTAGTATAACCAGTTACCATTGTGCGATAATATACGGACAACTTTGTTACAAAAGTTTTCTTTGTACTCATTTTTTTTAAATATCAAGAGGATTACTATTGTTAAGTGTGATGACGGTTGTAAGGAAAATGAGTCCAGGGTCGGGCATGCTTATATAATCAGAGTTGTATTGACAATTGAGCAGGGCTTTTAAGTGTACAGGAGGGGGGAGACGATTAAATGTTGTGTTTTTTTCTATAAAATATAACCGTGAAATCACTATCAAGACTATATTGCATCAATACTGACTGTCCGGGTTAAATTTTTGTTTTAATTCCTTTATTGTAGAACGATAATGGTCGTGTTGTAAGATTTATAAAATATATTTTTGCCAATAAACAAAAAAGTATGGCTACTATTTTACCCATTTTTTAATATAGGAATGAGAGAGGGTATATTGATTTAATGTGTGTGTGTGTGCAATATTAATTTTATGCTTTTGCCTATTCATCAACAAAATCAAATGTAGGCTTGACCGGTCTAAAAATATGTGCATTTGACGTGTTCTCGTTCATGAATAATACGTGTGTGTTTGCATAGAGCGTATTACATTCATTTCTAATAATATATATATATGTATATTTCAATAGAGATATTGATAAAGAGGGCGGCACGGCGGCGAAGCGTATGCCATTCACCTCCCACGACTGTATGAATATATATTATGGCATAATTTGCGTGATATCGTTTCATTTTACATCGTTTCATAAAATGTATTTAATACAGTTAATTAATTTAATTTAAAAACACTGTACCTGTTATAATATTGCCGTGCTGGGCAACCGAGTAAAGACCGTCTCAAACCAGAATAGTTGTTTAAAGGAAATAAAAATTGGCATGATTTCTATAGGAAGCGCAATGCGTCTGTTAAATTAGCATGCAGATTGTACTAGTAATTTTTAATAGTAATAGTTCTAATGCACGCAATAGAAGGTATAGGCATTAATTATTGTACTGTTTTATAATTTAGTATCATAGCTACAACTTACACGGGCGCATTACAATAAGTAACAAGTATACTAAGTAAAAAACTAACACACAAACTGAAAAAGAAAGTACCACGAACAAATCGAATGACGTATTTAAATTCAAACTTTAACTAATTATCTATAAGCCATTAGCCAATTACAGCTGATGCAATTATTATTCTAAGTAATTAATATAAAATTAAAATATTATAGCTGTGCAAAACCGCAATAGTTAATTAACAGAAGCCAACTAAAATAACTAATAACGAGCAGGCAAAAAAATATTAAATAACATTACCGTAGTGAACTCTAGCGGCTAAGTCTGTAAATTACTCTACTGTGGTGCATAGTAACACACTAGATGGCGCTATACTATTTGTAGACAGGACCCGCTAATATTTTTCCCAATAATTTCCTTAATAAAACTCGCAAAGAACCGACAATGTGGTATAATATTAAATAAATTATACCAATATTGACAATAATTTTGTATCTACAATTTATCTATTAAACGAAAATACAATTAAAATTAAAAAATATTTTTTAGGGTATAATGTAAATATATTTTAAAAGGTTACATTTTGTACTAAACTCTGTTTTATAACAACTAATAGCTATTAACAATATTTACTATTGGGTAAACATTGATAACATTGGGTAAACTAATGAACACAAATTACCCAAATAGAAAACGATATTCAAATATACCTTTAGACTAAATATCATTAAGACAACAGCCAACAGAAATTCTACATTAATTTTAGAACCAGTACCATATAATTGGCAATTCCCAACCGAAGTGGTACAACTTCAACGAATTATTTTTGTCGATTATTTTGTTCTACTACACGCCAAGTCTGATCTAATGTATTTCATAAACCCACTCGCTGCGAGAAGTCACGGTTGTACAGTATACGTTTAGCCTTCTCTCCTCTCTTCGCTATTTAGCTTTTCAGATAAATTCGTTATGGACCCAATAAGTTTCGGACGTGTCGATAAAGATTGTATATAATTATTGCCATGTTTTTAACGACCGACGTAGATAATATTGCCGTAAAATAAAAATAAAAAATAAAACAATTAAGGCAATTCGATAAACCGGTTTCGTATCTCGCGTGGTCAACAACCCCGAATCAATCGAAAACGTTATGATGGTTATTTTATTGCAATAACAATAACATCCGGGCATGTGGACCTACTTTGTGGACTCGTTCTAGACCTATACTAAGGCTGATCATACTAAGATGATGCGTGACTGTGATGTGATGATTGCAGGTAACGCTAAACGTATCCAACGAGTTCTTAAAGTACGGCGAAAACACTCAACTGATATGCCCCAGCGTACCGTCGCCGGATGCATGCGAATCTGGAGTCTCGCTGTCTTGCACTGTGGGAGAACAAGCCCTAGACCGGGAAGGACTTGGCCCGGGATGTGTGTTGACCGGTTCGCCGTTCACCGAACCCTGTGTACGGAGTTGCTTCAAAATCTGTGGGTTAGTTACACAACGTTTTGTTCTCTTCGCTTCAATTGACTTATTATCCGCAATTATAAGAGAATGATACAAATATATGTTAGATTAGGTATCTAATCCACTCTAACGGTATACTAGCTATTATTTATTTACTCATTTTTTTTTTAGAGTTGTAGGTAGTGGCTGCGATGTTGGAAAGCCATTGAAATTCGGAGACACATTTGCCATTAGCCCTTGCGTTTCTTCCAAAGTATGTTTAACACCATTAAATTACTGTTTCTGGATAAAATTGTGCATTTACACAGGTTTCACGGAAACCTATGAAGACTACGTGAAATATTAAAGACATTTTCTAATATAAATGAACAAATAACAGTTCTGTAATTATTTTAAGGGCCTTATAAAAAAAAAAAATGTTAATATTTATTGGTCTATGCGAATTAAAAGTAAACCGTTTTTTTTTTTTTAAATACATCAACTAGACACTTCTGGAGTTGACATGATATACGAGGAGGAAAAAAAACAGTGCAATATATTGGGAATAAATGCTTTTTTGATAGTGTCCCAATGTTTTTTTTTGACAATAAATCTCCGACACGATTAAAAAAAAAATGTACTTTGTATACGTCACGTTTCCATAAATATTATTTTCTATGATTTAGCCGTTGTATGTGACTGTCGAAATGCCACGGCTAAGCGCGGAGCAAGGGTTATCTGACCATCCGGTATTGAAGTTGACGGATACCCTGGACGTATACTGCCGGTGGAGAATTAACTACTGGAACAAAACACTCCAACTGGAAGCGGAAGGGTTACCTATCCCGGTAAACACTTTTGTGCCATGTAATAAAACATTGTGGTTCATAAATTAATGCAATTCTTGTATTTTAATAATAATTACTGTTAAACACCGGCCGCGACCGAGTGCGTAAAGGAAGTAAGTGGGTGGGAAATAAAACAGAACACATTGTTTTATTTTTTATTTTAATTACTCGCTAGATTTGCCCTTGAGCTCATCGGGCTACCGCTTCTATGTAAGGAAGCAGCCGGAGAAGTTGGTTGACCCGGAGAGAAACCAGTTATTTACACTGAGCTCTCTCAGACCGGATAAGTTCATTTTAATCTCGACAAATCCGCCAGCATGTCATTTTTACCTTGTGCCGTTTGCCCCGGTTCTTTTTGATATCGCTAAATTTTTATTTTAAATCTACTCGACAACTATAATACTACTTAAAACATATTTTTGATAATATAATAACGTGTTTAAAAATATTTAAACGCCCGTGTTTGAATTTATAGAATGGAACTTGCGTACTTCTCAATCATATGTCCACAAATCAAAACGCGGCGGTCGAAAGAGATTTCTTATTAGACACATTTTTCGGTACCGTAAGTATTGATTTACTGTCAAAACAGTGTAACATAAATAACACTATTGGCTTTTTTATTTTTTACTAAATATGTTCAACATTGGTATATATACATATAGAATATAATGTGACTTTTGTTGAATTGTTGAAACTTTGTCTCCCTAAGAAATTGTTTATATTTGTGCTGTATTTTTATGAATCTGGCTGCTGTTATATTTTCTTCTTTGACCTAAACTATAACACTCATTGCAGAGCACTTATAATTAGTAATTACTGTAATAATACCTAACTACATAAAAATATTAATTAAATAGGTATCTGAATTAGACTATAATACCAATTTTGAAAGTTGACCAAATAATTAATTATTATAAAATACAGACGTAAATGAAACTAGAAGTGATTATCTAATGTATCATAATGCCTAAACATATTTGTTGATACTGAATCTTTCTAAGTTTCCATGAGTTTTATCTTATTGTATATTTTAATGTAAAACATTTAAACTATTGTGCAATTATAAAATGTTTCACGTTTACAGTTGAAAACTCAACTAGGTACTACTAACTTATTAAAAAAAAAAAAAAAAGAGTTAGGTTTAGGTTGCATGACATATTTTAGTGATATGTAAATATAATTTTAATCGAATTTGCATAATATAAAAAGTCTACTAAAAAAATTGAGTTGAATAACTCAAGTTATCCATCTAATGGGTGCACACCAGTAATATAATTATTGTCAGAGCTTATATTTTATTGCTTTTATCTTTGGCTAATATATTATAGTATTAGAATTTTACGAATGATTATATTAACGAGTCTGATTTCTGAATACATCAGAAAACTAGTTTTTCTTACTCAGTTAATTTTGAAATAACTTCCCACAGAAGGTATACCAGAATATGTGGTTATGTCCATAAAAATAAATTACTTGTATTTTTATTCATACCATTGCGACGGTTATACTTGGCCAATTAATATTATACACTATTTCAGACATGAATAATCTGACAGTTCTTCAAAGACCACTAAAATGTATACATAAAACATGTTATGAATAAATAAGACAAAAGAAATTAATTGTTGTTCGAGTGTAACTATAAGATGGGGAAATATACATATATACAATATATTAAAAAAATCAATTACTTATAGTCTGCGTTTAATAATTATTGATACTTCAATGGAGAGATTAATGTTTTTGTTGCTTATACAATTTTTTATTTGCTTATTTTTAAAGAATGCTAAAAAAAAAATAATAAAACGTGAGGCGTGAAGATAAATTTGCATGCGTCAAAATACTACGCAGACATGCAATATGAATATTAATGTAAAATCAATGATATTTAAATATTGTACACATAGTCTGTATATACGATGATAAATGGCGACTGTAATTTATTATTTGATCATATTTCATAATAATTGCATTTAACATATTCAGTTTTTAATATTATTTCAAATCTGGTTAAACTTCTGCGCTATCCTGTGTGAATGGCGACTATTTGTTCGGTAACAAACTCTAAAGTTTGAAAAGACGCGTAAAAAAACTTTTCATCTTGTAATAGCTCAGTTATTATAATAAGTAATAAAATAAAAGTTTTGAATAAATAGTATGATGAAAAAAGTATAGAATTTTTATATATATAATTTGTGAATCGGTGTTTGTAATGTCAATGAAAAGTTTAGTATAATACCGTAATTTTAATCATTAAACAAGTATGGAAGTCCTTTCATCTTTTCTATTTCTTTTACTATAGGTTTTTAAAGAATCTTATATTTCTAAAAGTTTTTATAATTTTATTTCTTATTGTTAAAAATGTTTTTTTTTCGAATAAACGCACAATATGAACTTTCTTTAAATAAATGTACCTACTTATTATGTAATATATTTTTTTATAAAATTTAAAAAAAATAACTTATTCAGTAAAATAAAGAAAATATATATGTGTCTAACTAACATAATTTTTTTCTATTAAAATACTATTTAATTTTGTTTTTATGGTTTACACATATGTCATTTTTTTAAATTGTTAGTCTATTAGTTGTTAAGATAAAAATGAGAATTGAAATACATAATAATATATCATTAAAGACATGCACCATTTATTCTTAGAGTTATTATGATACCATAACGTCTTTGGAAAACTTGGATTTAAACATTGTATAACAATCATAATATTCGTACTGTACTCCAATTATTGCAGTTACAAATACAAACCGAAAAATTCAGGGTTTCGTCTGTTTTCTTATCATTTTATCCGTCTTTATTTCATTAAAGATTAAAGAACGTTTTTTAAGTTTTATAATAATTTTCTTGTACTTTTTAGGAGTATGAGATATCCGCACATTCTTACAAGGACGCCAGGGGATGTGATCAACCGCAAAACTTGTGGCAGTTCATCACATCGAGTCGGTCATCGGGCGAAGTGCCGACCAAATAACAAGCCATCGAGTAATTTATAAATATTATATTATATGATTTAATTAGTTTTTACTTAGAATTAAAAATCAGCACAACAAACACACGTTTTGATACAAAAGTGCAACTATTCATCATACAGTATTTCATATTGGTTTTCACTCGAATCGACTGCTGTAGTAAAAAAAGTATTACAATTCTTTAATTGCTTACAATGAGTTATATAAAAAAAAAATGTAATTCGTTTGATTTACCATTTTTAATTGTTAAACAGTTTCCGTGGAGAGAATATGGCGAGTATATCAAACACGTTAATATTACCATTATTGTAGTATTATGTTATTATTTGAGTACTCGCAATATTATCAGTACAGGTACATATTGTTTAAATATACAAATGATGATAGTTTATGATATTTTTTAAGAAATATTAAAAAGAAAAGCGCGACGTGGACTGAACCGATTACACAAGTATAAAATATTATAATAATAAAGAACACATGCATTGAATTGAGCTTGGAAATATGAAAAACGTACAAAACAACACGGAAAGAACGCCTAGGGGTACCAAACAGACAGATTTCTAATATACGTTATATTTTAATTCAGTTATAAATTCAGTCTTGTCGACGCATCCCTATAATATTATGGCAGTTCTCTCTGTGTGCGAAAAATATAAATTACAATATTACATAATGTATAATAGCGATGAAGAAAACTTGCGTTTTTACATAAAAGTCTTAACAGGAATACTCCTCCTTAGGGTTACTTAAAAAATATATATATTTTTTTACACTGTACACTTAATGGCTTTGGCTTGATTAAATATAAGTGCGGTGTCGTTGCGCTTCTAACACGGTAGTCGGCAACGCTTTCATTTCTTTGCGGACGCAAAGTTTTCTGTAAACATTTAAAAATCTGTTTTCATTATAATTTTATTCGATTTCGGGCGGTAAGTTTATAGTTTATGCTTACATGTAGTCAGTTTGCTCTGCAGGATCGGTGACAGAATCTCTTCGAGACTGGCCGATGATCTCAGTTCGGCGTTAGACAATCGATCGACCTTTAAACAAATCACACACGTTAAAACGACAAAAGTAGTACAAAATCCTCCACGTGTTACAATATAATATAAATTTGAAACGCACTTCCATAATATTTAATAACTTTCAGAATATTTGTGCATTTCATAGTTCGGCAAGAAATCAAAAATTATAGCTCATATGTTTCAATAATATTTTATTATGTCATATAGCAAATTTTATTTTTTTTTTTTTGGGGGGGGGGGATTATTTTACAAACTCCTAACCAAAACATTTCGATTTCTAAATTGTAGAAATTTAAATGATACGAGGACCGACAGAGTTGTATAAACCGTGACAGTATATACCTACACGGGCAGGTTGTAGAGTTTAAATATAGTAATTTCACCGAGTTTTCCGCCGTGTGATGAATGAGACGTTAAGTGCCGAACAAACGCGGTAAGATTAATGGCACGAGAATGGAGGTTATGACGGATTACGGCTGGACACGCGGTGTGCGTTTGTGAAATTCGGCGAGGATCAATTAAGGGGCGCAATATAAAGAGCAAGACGCCCCCCCGTGTGGCAATCTCCCCCTTTTTGAGCAGAGGGGGTTTCCCAGCATTCATCGCTTGGCACGATGATGTCCCAGAGGTTTATCGGTGCTGACACACGTTGTGATATGGGACCGGCTTGTATCGCATACGCAGTAGTAAGTAATTACTCCTAAGAATAACCGTTGCGGGCGGTAAAAGTCCGAATCGACCGTCGGCACTCACGTGGTTGTGTTGAGGTGAAAAATAAGTAGGACCCCTGGAAGACCTGGCCAGGTTGTTGGTCCGGTTGGCGGGCTCGCCGTTGTGCAAAGGCCCGTTGTCCCATTGCGGTCGTTTCCGGTCCCCCGGCCAAGGTATGATGCCGTTGGGGGTGTTTGCATGCTGGCCGAGTACACCGCTCTCGAACGACTTGCTGCTCTTGATCGACGCTCTACCGGTGCAGTTGTCGGCGTCGGGCGCGCTGTTCCTGTTCGAGTCCACCGCGGCGGTCCTGTAGGTCGTTTCCGGATTGTTGTTGTTGTTGTTATGGTTGTGGTTGTGGTTGTGGTTGTGGTTGTGGTTGATACCGTTGTTCCGGTTTTGGAACGTCGTCGTCGGCGTCGGCGTCTGGTTGATACCGTTCTTCGCGCCGTAACCACTGACCGGGTACACGCGGTCGGGTATGCACTGCCAAGGCACGCCGACGGCGCCTCGGATCTCGTGGCTCTGCCAAGACCCTTTGGGATTGCCGTTGCTGGCAATGCCGTTACTGTGTACAAATTGCAATGTTGATGTATAATATAATAATATACAATGTGTAATATGACAGCAACAGTTTACCTGACGGGAGTCCTCGCGGTAGACGTGTACGTGGCGTCTCTCATCATATTTTCCGTCCTCTTGTTGTGCATATTGTCCTTTTGCTCGAGATCGTACAACCTAACGCAAACAGTACACACGGATAGTATCAACCACAATGGAAAAGGTCCATTAGCAAATTGCATTGCTAAATATACACACACACACACACACACACAATAGTGTTATATATGCACAATATCATTATTATTATTATTACCATCGCGAATGATTTACAACGTTTCGCTGGTCATGACTAGAATAATTGTTTGTACCGAGCAACGTGGACGGGTTGCCGTACAGAGCAGAGCACATGTTTTTGCTCGAATCGATTGTCCGCATCATTTGGCTGGGTAACCTGAATCATAAGAAATACATTCAAGTTATAATTATATTAAAAAATACACATATATTTTAATACTAAACCGTATTAGATATGATAACTTAAATCGAATACGTTTAGTCGCTAGAATACATTTGTTATTTTATCGTCAGCTGTTATATCATTATATTATGTGTAAAAAATTGTTTTTGTTTCAGGTTAAAGGAGATAAAGTATCACCGTCAAGTGCCAGCGACAGTCATATGTTAAATACTTCCACTATTCAAGTACTTAGTAGTGTCATTGAATAAAGCGAATGAAAATCTTGTGTTTTTTATTCACCTAAAATCCTACGTCCAAATCCTTTAATTATACATGAATAAATTCCACACAGCTATAATGTATTTTTAAAATGTTATATTATATTTTTATTGACGACATATTAATTGTAAACCATAATATTGCGAAAAAATATCAAATGTTAATAAAAACTCAAATTCATCATTCAAATCACTTTCCAAATATTGTATACTAAAAAACTACTCATGAATAAGTTCCAGAAATCCTGAACACTTATTATAATTGAATTATTTCATTGATGTTTCAACGAATCATGTATAATCTAAAGTTGCTGTGTGGATATAATAAGAAAATAATTATTGCCAATAGTGCGCTTAACTCCAAAATATACATTGGCAAGACGGATTATATAATAATGTAATTTCTTTAGATTGTACTTAAGGACCAGGTGTAACCATTTGTTATAAAGGTTGTAGTTGAATAATATCAGTAGATTCCTAAACTTATAAATAATCGATTTTAAGTCCGTCTTAGAAGTTATATTTTTAATGTTATACCAGTTGGAGTTATAATTATAAAACGATTTAACATACGCCAAAAAAACATATATATTATATATATTAACATTTTATAAATATTTATTTACTGTTTTTTAATTTAGGAAACAGCTGTTTTTAAAAATTCCTTTTTATAAATTTCTCATGATAAAAAAACAAAAATAATAGCACGTTTCAATAAATATACAATTTCGTGGAATTTTTTAATAAAAAATATAACATCAGTACGTTTAATCATACAGCGGAAAATCTACCTCAGAGCAAAGATGTTATGCAATATATCAAATATAAGAGGTCTTGTCGTTTTCTCTCTTTGGCCCTTTGCTTCAGGTAAATGTATAAAGAAGTTCTCAACACTTTTACACGCTGTTTTATATTCTTTTTAACGTGTCAACAAAGAAGCTGGCCATTACTACTAAATAATAACTCATATTTTTTTCATTTCAAAAGACATCCGAGACTTTCCATATTTAATGTAACTTCGGCATTTTTTTTCTTTTAATAAAAAGTATTTTATATACTTTCTTTTTTGATAAAAGCAAAAAAAATAATTAATAAAATATATATATTTATCGTTTTTTGTTTTGAGAACAATTAATTATTTACTGCAATTTCATCTGAACGTTAAAACATTTTAATAATACTTAGAATAGCTTGTTTAATTCAACTAAAACAGCACGAGGTATTTATTTTAATTTAAAAGAGTAGACAATACTAAATCAACAGTAGTGATTAATTAAACATATTTTGTATTTGACTGAATAAAAATAAGTTCCTTTAATCAATATACAGAAAACCTTTTGTTTGGTTAATATTGTTTTATACTTTTATTTTAAATTGTTTAAATTATTCAAAAAATTAGGATTTTGTCACTGAAATTTGATTTTTTTAAACTAAAGTTTTTTAATTTGTAAGTAGCCATAATTAGTCTTATGACATACATTTGTAAGAGTTGTGACACTAATCTCACAAATAATTATTTGTGAATTCTGGATTGCAATTTATGATTGAATTAGATTTTCAAATTTTTTAATTATCACTTAAGTGATCAAATAATTGCGTCTTATAGATTTAAAAGGACTAGTAACATATTTAATAACTTTTGACAAATAAGCATTCAATTTTATAATGAATAGCTTTTATATACTTGCTACTATAGTAAAGATTCAAGTGTTTTGTCGTCCCAAAATCTTGACGTTATTGCATGCTACTGTTAAGGTTATATTTAAGTGAGAATAAATTAAAACTGATGTTTTTTATTCAAATGTTTTGGAGCTGGGGAAAGGGCGATTTAAAGTTTTAAAAAGAAGCCAATTTAATCGTGTCAAATACAACTTAACATAATATAATAATGATAATGTTTAAATTTTATATTGCTACAAAAAAAAGTTATATGTAATTAAATAAATGTATTAACACACAAAAATACACTCAGTGGTCCAAAACTATGTGAACATACTTTTTTTAATATTTGTCGTAATATGTTAAGTCTTAGAAAAACTCGAAATAAAAGAGTACATTTTTGTGTTGATTTTGTATGAAAGAAGTAAGAACCCGTTTTGTTAGCAATCAGCAAGCACAATGTTTTTAATTCACGTGGAGGTGAATTTAGAAGGAATGTTAAGTAGACAGATTTAGAAGGTTAAGCAGGTCATGAGTACCTAGTTTGAAATTAATTGGCTTAACATATTGAGACAGCCTTTTTTGTAGATTCGTAAGTGCTGTTGTTTTTTCATAAGTCTCAAAGACATAAATTGTAATAGCTGAGATGATAAATATCATTCCATCAGCTGGATTGTATTCGACTAACATTCACTTAGGTCAACAATATATCATAGAACTGCTAAATTTCTGCACCATTAATACACATTAGAAACTAATAGCCGATAGCAATCCGAGTTTTAATTTACAGTGTACTAGAGTGGCAATAACATTTGATTAGGTTTTTTCAAACTACTAAAAATACAATTTGTGTAGCCATATTTATATGATATTTTCTCCATAAAATAAAACGTGCTAAAAATAAATATGCGACTTGTGCCCATTATAAAAATATTACGTGTGATAACCGTTCAGTTACAATTGGCTGATTTAAGAGTACAAAATAACCCGATACTAACATAATTCAAGTAAATGTTACAAAATAAAAACAATATATATATAATGAAATAATTATTCAAATAAAGAATCCATTTTGGAGTGGTTTTAGTTCATCGTACCTTGGTAACTGATTCGCACTTTTTGAACTTGGCATACCGTTGGTGGTGGCAGGACCTTCGCTGTAAGGCGGCGGAGGACTATCGCCGTTTTCGTGTAAGACTGCGTCCTTCAGCGAACAACTGTAATCCAAAAAAAACACAATAATTGTTGAATTATTCTTGGTGTGGAGTAATCAGACATGCGAAAAATCCTAAACGATTAACGGCAGGTTAAACTCGGGCATAGCTAATATTTTATTTACAAGCAAACAAACACCAGTAGTACCTTTTGGCCCTCCGAGACGAATAAGTTTTTCGTTTTGACGAAGGAGGAGGCGAATTGGACTTGACAGACGTTTTTACCGCTGTGTATGGTATTTCTCTCAGCTGCTCCTCGGTCATTCCTTCCGTTTCGACCAAGTCGAATTCCAAGTGTTTTTTCAGCTCTTCCGGTAAATGCGTTTTGCCCTCGGACGGCGACCTGGATCGAGACCTGTACCGCCGGACAAAGCAAATCGAGATTGAAAAATTTAAAAAACAGCGATCGTTATATCTTTTATACGGCCATTCGTGTTATTTGGAAATTAGAAAATCCTAGGGGAGGGGGCGAGAATCTCTTTGCTCGGCAACAGCCGCAATACTATTATAGCCTACCTGTGTTTGCGGTGTTTCCGCCTCCTGTACGTGGACGAATGGTGCGATATCTCACTTTCGGACTCCAAGCCGCTGTTGGCGTACCCCGACCGCGGCCGGACCACGGACGCCTTTTGTATGGCCGACCGACCCTCGGCTTGGCGTTTTTGAACTTCGCGCCATTGGCCCTCCGAGTCGACCAGCTGGTACCTCTGTCGCCTGTGCTCGTGGTCGTCCCCGGCCGACGATTTCCGGCTCCTGTGCCGGTGCCGTCTGTGCGACTTACCGCCCGACCTGCCGGACTGTTCGCTCTCGTTGTCCGACGACCGTCGATTCCGATGCCTGTGCCTGCATAGGGTTAAACACTAAATCGTATAGAGTTCCTCGAACAGGTGCCGGGAAAACCCCGGAAACTCCGCGGAAATACTCCAAATCAACTTGCACCCCCCCCCCCCCATATTCGTTTAGACGATATAGATACCCTCACGACGCGGTAAACGCGTTTGTCAATATAGTAAAACGAACGCGTGCCCTGGACCATGACTATACATTTGATAGAGCATAGTAAAACATTGATCGGCTCATTGTGTACGTTTTTAAAAATATTTAAACAGCCCTGGGATTGCATCGCATACGCACTACAAGCAATTCAAACGTGTATTTCATGTTAATGCGCGTAACACGCACGATAGAATTTCCAGTAAACAATAGCCTAAGCACTTTATAAACAAACAAAAAAACAAACCGAGTAGCTATTGGCATTCGGAATGTGTACACACGAGTTGTAAAAAATATGAGCGCCGGCCGTTGGGGATACCTATATAGGAGACGTTCTCGCGGGTCATAAATATATTGTCGATAGGTCTGAAAACATCAGCAAAGAAGGTCGATTTAAAAAAAAAAAATCGATTTTTTAACACATTTTCTTTAGAAGTTTAGGAAAAGGTCGATTGAAGAAGATCCATGCAATTATTTTACTACTACTGGCAGTAACGTGATAGCCGCGATATTTATGTGTCTATTTCATGTGCTTGACGGTAAAATACAGATTTGAGAAATTTATAATTATTATAATATATTATTGTGTACTCTCTGTACGAAATCAGTGGACGTGACCAACATCAGTGGCTCGAATTTATTTCATAATATGAAAAGCGCTTAAGTACGTTGTAATAATTTAAGATTGCAAGTGTACGATTGTACCTATCGGTTGCAAACATTGTGAACGCAAACGCAATAGGTTTTGTTTAACTAAAAGTATGTGTAAGCATACAAAAAAATCCCAGCAAGTTGCATATAACATAGATTGCAATAATAATTCCCTGTGTGAATAGGTCCAACCATTGTCTCGAATACAATACGGGACCATACCGAATATTATTATGTTTAGTTAAACGCCGCCATATTTGTTAAAGCAAATTAAATATCTTAAACATAGACTCGCAAATACATATTTAAATCAATTTTGCACAACGGCGCACATACTTCCGACAGGACTTGGAATCGTTTGAACTTTGGCTGTCCACGCTGGACGACCGGCGTGCGTGCCGCATGATTTGATGAGGTCCTGACCTGACGCTTCTCGGAGACCCACTAGAGTACAACCCTCTGGACGGGGCACTCGACCAAACGCCCCAAGGTGCACTCCTCGTGCTTCTTGGCGAATCACTGCGTTGAGGTACGTACATCCTTCGATGGAAAATAACGACAACAAATAATAAATTAAATTGAATTTATTCTCAAATAGGGAAAATACGATTTCAAAGGCTTACGTGTGGACGGGCAGTTGAGGGTTTGAGTAGTTTTTCAACTTGTCCTGTGGCTTTAACGATTCGTTCCTGTGTTCTTCTCCGGCGTTTTGATCTGCCGAGACAAAATATATTTTATAATACAACATATTGTCTACCATGTGTTACACGCATAACGTTATGATGAAAAAAAGGACAACTATACTGCGGGGAGCACAATTGACAGGGATGTCCTGTGTTTAAACCAAATGATTTCAAAATACATAGTTGATATACATTGTGCATACGAAATGGGTTTTAGAAAATTTCCTTTTTTTCATTTCTTTAATAACTGAAGTCAATAGTTGACAAACAGGCAATTAAGTAAAATTAAATATTTTTACAGTCGTATTTTACAGTTATTAATTAAATACTTGGCCAGTTGCTTGTACTGTAGTTTGTAGTTTAAGTATGCATTTTATCATTACTCTTTTATATTTTATAGCTCAAATACCAAAAGTCTTTAAGTATTTTTCTCAGTTGTAATAAATGTATACACCATATACATTTGTTAACATATAGAAATAGATAAGTTATACCGGGTCATTATCGTATACAATTTTCCAACACAATATTTCTTAACGTAGCCGAAAAACGCCGGTAAACGAGACGTATACTTTAATGTACATCGGTTTCTTTAACAAACTCCAAAGTGGCGTTTACCGAACAGCGTTAAGCACTTTCCGAGGGTGAATATATATATATCTTGCTAACAATTCCCATTTAAATATCTCGAATGCGTTATCTGTTCAAAATTATTTAGCCGTGTAAATTAGACGACTCGCGTTATTATCTTTTACCAACGATACGGAAACATAACGTTAATGAATTGAATTATATTCACTAGATACAAAATCAATCTATTAAACAATTTTGCTACGAACCGAACACCGTTTGTCATAAGCTCTAAACTTGTTAGCAACTATTAAAAACTCTCGTCGAAGGACTAAACTTACCAACCTAGTTTTCTTAATGATTATACTATTGTATTGTGGTTTACATTGCAAAATTGATCTTTTAACGGATAAATCAGTTTTCGCGTTTGCATAATTAGAAACATTTAAAAAAAAATTGCAATTAAAAAAAAAATACTATTTCAAGCAAAACAGTATTTATTTTACTGCTCTACTAACAATCGACTCGCAAATATTTATAAAATATAAATATACAGCGTTTAAAGTTGGATGTAAAAAGTACAATGAATGCATACTTCTCCCTTTAACGCCTATCGTGCTCAGTTCACTGTCGCCTCTTAGTATATACCTAACAACTCGTAGCGACTAATTTATTAAAAAAATAGAAGCTATTTGAGAAACTATACTTACAATTGTGTACACAATCAAACATAACATCTAAGTTTTCCGTATGGACGATTCAGACCTTCGCGTACATTAGTCTTAACGCAAAACGTGGTGTCGGGTAAAACACAATAATTGCAAGTGTAACAGGAGCAACAATCATGCAATGATAAACTGCGCCATTAAATATTGTTTAAATTAACAAAGTATGAGCAGCGTAAAATATAGACATACTAGTACAATAAACCACGATAGTGTATTATAATAGTAATAATGTTATTAAAAAAAAAAAAAAAATGTCAATGGTAAGAAAAATTACTGAACATTTTTTTTTCCAATAAAATTAAATTTTTATGTAAATGTCGAGAAACGATTTTTTTACTATTAACGCTATAAAATACTGTTAAGGTTGATAAATATTTGCGGTTTGTAAACCCAATAGTGTATAATATATACTTAATACTATTATTATTATATATATATGTTCCTGCTTTATACAATTAACAAGACTGACGGCTGTGCGTTCGCCTGCGAAGCGAAAGTCGATTGTACGCTGTTGTTAAGGGCTAATAACGATAAAATATAATTCAGTCACGACATTTATGCACGGCCCTCGAGAGGTCTACTAATTAAAATTTATTTTTTAAAACTACATTTTGCCTGAAACTTTAAAAGTGCACAACACCAGCTTCTCTCCTGTGTGCATATTAATTACAGCGTACACTTGACCTATAAGAGCTGTTGTCGTTCTTTGTCGTTCTACTATGATAATGTATACTTCTGAGATTTCTTGAAAACGCACAACGCCGTTTTTTTCGCTAAAATTAACTTACTATTATAAGTCACCGCATATACTCGTATGGCGTATTGTTTTACTTTGGTTGAGCTCGATACCGGTTATAAGCCAACGTGCAATTGTATTATTAAAAGCACACAAATAGCCGTCTTAATGAGTCACAAAAGACGGTTAAAAGGTCTCGGAGAGTTGCAGTGTATAATATGTTCTTTTTTTTTTTTTTGTGAACTTACTGTCGCTAGATCCTTCAACGATCCGCCTTTGATACCGACGGCTTGGGGTTCTGGTAAACGACGGTGGGGTCCTACTGCTCATTTGCGAACTCCTGGCCGATGATTTGTCAGCACGTCCACTACAAGAAAAAGAAACATCTACTAAAAAACGGTTATTCACTATTGACTATTATACTATTATACAACGAAAGCGTATTTCATGTTTTAGCGGATTCTAATTACTATATTGAATTTATTCACAACAAAATCGCCACCCCACAGCGCAGCTTTAGTATCAATTTAAAATCTATTCTACCTCGAATGAATTTTCCGCTTTTTTATTGATTCGGAAATGAAATAGTAGTAGTACTTAATTAATTATATAATAGTAAACGATATTTAAGAAATTAGATTTAAATTTAATTATGTAAAAATTTAAATGATTATTGACTTTTTTACGGGATATTTTTTATGGCCCATGTAGAATAATGTAAGGTATTGTTTTCAAATAAATATTTGAAAACCTATACAGTTGGCTTTACTTATTTTGTTCGATCAATATTTGATATCTATTAAAAATGAGTTAATAACCCATCATTTCATTGTATTATATTTTAATATAGTATTACAATACATATTGTAGGTAGCTAAACAAAAATGTATATACGGCCACGCATATTGTATTGAAAATTAAATATAATGAATACTGAATAAGTACAATGAACGTTTTTCCACTTAAAAAAACAATCGGATGAATTCTGGATTCGAAGTTTTTAAAAAATTTAATAAAATTAGTAGTAGTAATAAAATCATTTGTCAAAATCCTAAGAACTAACTGTTATTTTACATTTTAATTTTAAATATTACCAGTTTGTATTTAGTTTTATTACAATTTTAATCAAAAAGAATATCTATATGGTATAATATGTAAATGACAATTATGTTGAAAAAAAAGAGATTTGTTTTTTCTAATGCGGTGACTAACCTAAGTTATTAACTTAACGACTAACGTTATTAGACAGGGACTAACCTGCTAAATCGAGTACTTATCACGTCCGGAGGGTTGGGCGATACTTGGACGAGTCTGAAAAAGGAATGGTGTTCCATACTGCACTTGTACAAATGCTTACAAGCGGGCCTCGAGGGAGTCTCGAATCCATAAGTGTTTTCGTCGTTCTGAAATAATTATTAGACAACAATACAAGAATTTTTTTTTTCGTTTTTAATGACAAAAAAAAATTAATTAAAAACCCCAAAAAAATCGTACGTTTTTATCGCAAACTCTCAACATGAAATATTTGCCCTTGCTGTAGATTTTCGTGATCCTAGGCCTGTAAAATTGTACGTACATATTAAGTAGTAAATCTCAATTATTATACTATGATATAGTACCAGTAATAGTTGGCCACGATATTTTTATTTCGAAGGACTATCACTCCGGTCGGCGTCAAACCCAAATAATATTCGACATTGTCTTCGCCCTAGAAAAACAAGTGCATTATTAATACTCGATGATATAGTAAATAATAATAATAATACTATTATTATTATTATTTACTATTTCAATATATTTTTAATAACGAAAAATGTCAAAACGTTTTGAGTTTTTTTTTTTAAACATATTATGTTAAACATTAAAAATATGAAAATACCATACGATATTTTAATTACCACAATGAAGTTTATGTTTAACTTAACTTAATTAAATTTTAATTGTAAATAATTTTTTAATGTGTTACGCACCTTATTATTTTTTTTTTTTTGGACTCGTTAAAATATAAACAATATACATATAGTATAGCACTCGTTATACAAAAATAAAACCCGCTAGTATCCATAGAATGCATTGACCCAACATTGAGTACGGTTGCGTGAAGCCTACATAATTATAAACTTTATGATTCGGTCAATATATTTTTTTTTCTAATGTTCGTGTGCAGAATTCGGCGATTCATAGTATAGGGAAAAAATAATTTCCAAAATATTCATGTTTTCCGAGAAATTGAGTGTCTTACATTAGCTTGATCACCCTGTAGTCGTTCATTGAAATATTGTAAGTGATCAATCCAAAATAATATAGTATCTAGGTATATTGCAACGGAAGTTGACACGTTGCGGGGGCAACGGACATATTTTTTTTTAACCCGGTAAACACAATACACATAAGAACATGGGTCGGACTAGACGTTGAACTGTAATATTTTATACAACCACACGTCAGAAACCACTTGTCAAAATCGAACAGTTGTATACAACTGAAATCAATTGGATAACGAGATACTTTTTTTTTTGTGTTCTACTACACGGGTTAGAAAGTCATTTCGGTTTGCGTGAACGTAGTATATAGATCCAATAGCGCGCTTTGTGATTAATGAATCACCAGTACATTGATCATACACATTGATCATTACACAGGTGTTGCGCGAAAACACGTGGTCGTCCAATACTGATATGAACATTAAATAATCGTTCATACCTATTAACATATAATTATTAGATCTCGATCTTCGGCGTCTGACGGTAGGCGTGAATACGGTAATACTCGGTATTAAATAGGTATGATGACGAATATAAAGTGAGTACTATGAAAATAGGATACACAAAGCTTTTTATAACAGTTTTTATTTCGAATTTTACATCTATACCAACTATAAAACACACGAAATAATGTTATTTCGTTTACAAACTTCACTTTACGGGTTTCCCGAGGCCTATTTTATATATATGTGCTTTCTTTTAAGTACAAAACGGAAAGATGAACTCTCTAAAGAGACTTTAAAAATAGAGAAAACAAGATAATAAACGTGTATAAACCGTAATAAAAATGAACAGTGCGGGATAAAAACACTTTTATACCTAAGTTAAACTATGAGAAAAATAAATTTTAAATTTTACATGTGGTCTATAGCTGCATTTTATTATATAATCCTAAAAAAAACTGCAAAACAATTGTTTTTTTAAATGTTTGAAAGCACTCCCTTGTGTCTCCCAGTATGCTTTGGCCAACAGTTGGCTTGGTAAAATCCCACCGATAGCTAATAAACTAATAAATTTCAACTTTATCGTAGATCCAACATACAATAATGTTGTCTTTAATAAGGAGAACTGTCAAAAGTATCAGTAATGCACACTAGCTGATTTTTTTTAAATTAATAAATTGAAACTGAGTTTACAGTTTCAGGTATTGTTTTTAGATAAGTTATTTTCTACCGTCGTAGTTTGTGACGTTGCTGTTACATTTTATCGACGACTGATAGTTTGTGACGGACGATAGTGAAGTCAAACAATTTTGGAGAACAGTCTAGTTTAAAAAGGATGACACACATTTGAAAACCGTTTACATTCCATTTATTAAATTACCCGCATTCGTCTAAGTTTTGCCAACAGATAGAAGTAAACATTTGATCAGCTCAATGAAGTATCACGCCATCGTAGGCGTGTACATAAAAGTGTATAGATAGTATGACTTCGGGGTTTAGGCCGTATATCGGCGTGGACAAAGTTTGCAGTATAATTTTCTTTTGTTTCCTACTACCCAGTACAGTTTATTGTGTCGGGTTTTCCCTCGTATTCCCGCACGGACTTGGCTTTTACTCCTCCCTTTTCGTTCTTCCAACCGTTATAAAACCTTTTCCCCATGACTAGGCTGCGTGTAATATAAAAGAGCAAAACCAAGGGGCCTGTGCCCTAGTGTCCACACATAAACAAATACGCACCGAAACAATAACGATGGACCTTTTCATTCCCCTACTCTCATTTCCCTACAATATCGAAGAAGTGCACCATCACCGCCTCGCCCCAAACGCCGACTTCGGCTTTCATTTACACACCACATAATGTACATTTGAATATACATGCATATCTATTTTATACCCTAGTGTAAAATAATTCCAGTAAAATATTACATAACGTTATTTCTAACAAACCATGTTTTCCTGCCCCAAAAATATTATTACCCAATTGTTATGGATCATAATTTATTTATATTTGATCGTATACACTAAAGTCTAAAATTTTATATACTATAATAATTTTAACAAAAGGAATTTCGTTTTATTTTATGCATCCGTTGACAGAAATTAAGATTTATATTTTTTTTTCTTGAAGTTTATTCGTCAATACAAACAATGTATTTCCCTCATGTGTGTTGCACCACGTTTATGTAAAATTGATTCACATACTATTAAAATACACGTGCGTGCTTGTACAGGATTCTCTAAACTCCGGACTAGTTGGCAAAACGATTTGCTTGATCACAAATAACAATAATCGCAAACAAACGCAAACAGTTTTTAACTTGAGCAATACGACTTTGGTCGCGGATCGATTGGCCGGGTTTAATATACTAATTTAATTAGTATAACCCCCCTCCCCCCCCCCCAAAAAAAAAACAGGGATCCATTTAGGTTGATAGCCTTAAGACCGAAATGAATAATAACAATAAAACGAAAAAAGAAAAAGCTTCGGAAAAAATAATTGAAACTTTTTCGTTTAGGGTGGCTCGATGATTAAAACTCCTCCGTGCTGTGTGCAGCGTCAGCTTTGTTTGCTAATATAAAATTAGAGATAAACGTTAATACCGGGGAGGTTCAAGAAAACCTTAGTAGCCGCTTTTGCTTACAACTACTACCACAGACACACTATAATGTGTGCTCGTGTATATTACAAAATACCATGCTAAGCACCCTGTGAACGAGTGCACACAACTCATGACCCAGGGCTTGACTCAAGTGGACGTTGTACTCTGTAGACCTCTTTATTTCTACGAAACGAATGACAACAACGTCAATGATTGCTGATGAAGAACCGCACACATTTGCCATACGCGTGGTTCACGAGTAGATTTTTTTACACGGTCTTTACACTCGAATTTAGATCACACAATATAATATACTGTAGCAGTATACCTATAATAGGAATTCTAAAGAGCAACTGTAGTGTTAATATCAACGAGGATACTTACAAGTACAACAGTAACTATAAAAATTAAAATGCCTACTAAGAACGTAATGTAAGTACAAAATTAAAATATTTTACACTTTTCTGATTAAATCATTAACCTATTTCTAATATCTTAATTAGTTATGAATTAGTACACTATACATAATGTTCTACTCGAGACTATGACTAGATTTTCAGAATACTGGTCAAGATGTTCCAATTAATCACCGTCCACTTTTAGATGGTGAATAAGTGACGGGTTTAAAATTATAACAGCACAAACCTTTCCGGATATCTCCTAACTAATAATATCTAATTAGAATTTGCCGGAAGGGCTCTATTATAGTTCAATTAAAATAAAATATTTTATGGGAACCGATAATGTATAGTTTCAAGGAGGAAATTGCTGAGACGTATCATCACCAATAGTACATCTATTTAACAACATAAGGATCTTCTGTCTATGAGGTTCTTGTATGAACTCTAATGATATGCGATATCGGAAACTCAAATTGGTGGCCTAAGTACTGCCAGCCTAAAGGGGATTTTGTGTTGTTGGGGAATAGACTTATTCAGACTGTTAAGCCTCCATAATTGCACTACTAGTTCAACTATAGCTAAAATATATAAATCGTATACTGGATTTGAATATATTATTTTCGCAATAAAGAAAATATTATTGTACTCACCAAAACCGGATGCAGATCAACGCCGTACATGTCCAGCCACTTGATTTTATCCAAGAAGTTCAACTCTGAAACCGCAGGCACTTGACCCCTATGGAATCGATAATAGTACATAAAAACTTAAATATGTAAATAATAATATACACAAAAACATATATATCCATTGCAATACGGCCGGACTTACGATAACTCTTTGTGTACTTCAGAAATTCGGTTCTCGAGCTCGGCGTTTTGATTGGACACAAACCGAAATTCCGACACATAGCCAGGAGTGTGCCTTCTCGGGTCGTAGTCACCCAGTTCAGCTGTAACAATCGAAAATAATGTCTTATAGTTTTACGTTCACTAAGCTATAATAGCCTAAAAGGTATGAAATTGTATTAGTTAGGTTCGGATTCGGTAAACGACCATTGGAATAAATAAAACGATAGTGGTGTTCGTAATTTAGGTGTTGAAATTACTCAAAATAAATCACATATAATAAATAATACTATTTATGTACATTTGACGTTAGTATGGCGACGGCGATCGAAACTAAGAAGGACAAAAAGTGCATTTTGTTAAAAAGTTGAATTAGCTTCAACTGTTGTGCTATAATCTAGAGGCAAAACTTTGATGTACGGGGAAATTTAAATGGATGTTTTCGAAAAATCCAACAATATTTGTGTTTCATTTCATTTGTTATGTACACAATGATAACTGCACTAGATCCTGTATAAAAATCACGAGGCTTGAAACCCGACCCAATTATGTTGATGAGACATTTTACTACTCAAAAGCATAGCGAAATCATTAACAATTGTCAGTTTAAAAAAAAAAAATGCTAATGATGTTTTTGGTTTTTTATACACTTAAAATTATTAATGAGTTTTATACAGAAATCCGACCCTCAAATATAACGTGTACCGTTTCCATAATACGCATTGGTTCTTTTTTAAGATTCATTATTTGTTTATAAAAAAAAAAAAAAAAAAATGGAATAGCGCAAATGCGGTCATGGCATGATCGTACGAGGAGAAAACCAAGTACCTATACAATTAGTATTGTTCGCATTGTAAACAGAGTATTGCTATATTTCGGGTTGTACACATACAGCGAACACAGTATACCATAATAAATGTATATATGTATACATTATGCACTATAATAAAAGTTTTCTAGTCCGAGGCTCTGTCATGCGGAAATATCAATGCCCTCCCTCACTCTCCTAATAAGCACCTACGCTTACAATATATTTATGGTTTTTGGCTTCTGGACCGATCTTTATTGCTTCCATTTACATTTAGAGAAATATAACACCCGCGGTGCTCCCTTGAAAACAACAACATAGGTCCGCGCAAGCAATGCGCACATTTACAACTTAAGTGTGTGCGTTTGTTTGTACACGTGGGTGGCCCAATAAATAGTATAAAACACTTTTCCAACATGTTTTCTTGCTTGACTTTTCACTACGAATTTTTTAACTATAAGCCATGTAATATATGTTAAAAAAAATAGTGTTCTCTGCATTATTTCGGTGACAGTTCCGCGTCGGTTTCAGTGGAAACCCCTCCTAGGTGTATGAACGATATGATTAGGCCACAGGTTTAAATATATTCAGTGGTACGAGATAATAGTTATTTCGCCTTTAAAAAACAGCTACGATAATAATAAAGTTTGTTTATTTATATGGTTTTTAAATTAAGTATCGATGTGCATGTTTTTCTGTATTTTTTTTCTCCTAACACACACATTGCTGTTTTCCAATGGCTAATGTACGGATCTTTTATAATTACTGTTACCGAGCGCATGTCCCTTTTACACGTTTATTCGTATGTATATTATGGGATATATTTTCGAACGTGAGGGGTGTAGGGGAGGCTACTCAAATTGATATTTATTACCCCTTTACCCGCATAAAAAAGTAACAGCTCGCCCACGTGTGCCCATTGGTCCCCGTACCTGTTACCGTTCGGAACGGTTGAGATTGATTTCCCACACCGACGCGGTGGCGGAAAAGTCCCATTAAAACTTCATAATGCCGGATTTACACGTTTGCCGTCTACGGTGAAAATTTATGACCAAAAATAAAAAAAGGCAAAAACCGTCGGCGATTTATAAATAAGACCCACCGCTGAGCGCAAAGAGTCAAAGTGATTTTTTTTTTTATTCTACTTAAGTCGCCAGTGACGTTTACCGAGGGGAACTATATATATATATATATATACATATAGTTTGCGTGCATCTTCTTGAACTTTCCGTTCATAAAAGCAACGCACGCTGTTCCGGTTTTCTTTTTCTCGGGTATCGTGGACGGAGCTCGTTTATTCCCTTGTATGCAAACAAGTCGACCGAAATACCGTAATATTGTTGAAAATTAATTAAAAACCCCAAAAAATCGCTCTGCGCGTCCTACGTGTACACGTAACGCCCACAAAATTCATCTACCATGTTTAAATGTCCGGTACTACGAGACGCTCCGAAAGTTTTACAATATGACCTGGGCGGGAAGTTTAGCACGGGTCTGTTCTGTCTGACCTTACAAATGCCAGATTAACTGACTAGGTAAGAGACTAAACAGGAACCTTTTGCAAAGGCACCGAATATAACGAGGAGTACCACTAATGGTAGCAACGTATGAACGGTGTGAATGTTGGCTAAGGAGCCGCATAATAATATTATGGTCAAGTAGTTCGCTAATCGCCGGTGCAGTTAAATTGCCTATAGAATACGCCGGACGTACATAAGCAATACGACATCGGATCTATGAAAATCTATTTCGTGTAAAATAACTCGCATAAAATATTGTATACAACTCAGACTACGATTTATCACTATCGCAATTAATATTATTCGGAGTTTCAACGGTGCAATATGATATATCGATTCAGTTTTGCGAATTATTTACTCATTTTCGCCTACCTACGCCGCTTGAGCCGACTTCATTAACAACTGGCAAGCCAAACGGCTTAAATATATTGTTATATTTGTTTTAATAATATATAATACGATTCGATATAAATAAATGATACGGCCGAAAACAGCGCTACAGTGTCCGTGAATTTCCATTAAAAATAATTTATGTCTTTGCTATTTTAATTCACAATGTTAAGGTTGTGCTATTGTTGTCGAGCAAAGCGTTTCATCTGGATTTTTTGGCCAAATTTCAAGTTAATATAATTCGACTTTTCTTTTGAACTTCTCTCGCTAGTACTTTGTTATTAAATTATTTATTATAACAATAAATAATGAATTTAAATAATCACGACACACTCAGACAGCTGCGCACTTTAACCAACCAAGTGTAATATTTGTTTGAAGTTTTGGAAATAATATATATACATAACTTATTTTTAGGAATAAATAATAATTATAGTTCGGTTACAACCTTTCCGTGAGTATTGTATTGTTTTTGGGGCAGTAATTATTTTAGCGTATTCGTGTCCAGGTAACAAAAAATGAAAAAAAAAACGTTATCAGTAAATTAGGCGTCAACAGACTGCCGAGTGAGTGTTTTTCAGGGAATGTTAGCACTAGTCGTTTGACAATGATGATATTATATTATGTTATACCCAACTGGGAAACTAAAGGGGAATACGGTTATACTTGATTATAAAATGTTATCAATAAGAGTTTGTAACACCACCACTGACGGGCAATATCTAACGGGCGGTATAGTATATTTATTGTGCAATGTGTGTAATAAAAAAAGTCGACTGACGACAGATAATATTTATAAGACGAGAAAAATCCCATTATGAGGTGAAAAAAGAATACAATATGGACGTTTGCGGAAAACGGTTCCATTTGTGACGACAATCGTTAGTGTTTGGTATAATCGTCTTACAGCAAAAACACAAACAACAGTCGAGCAAGCTCAAAAGTAACTTGAGGCGACCGCTCAACTATATATTGGCAATAGAAATGGACACACGTAACGCAAGTTTGTATTAAACGCCCACCGACCGAGTGGTTCGGTTAAATAAAAGGTTTTCTTCGCATTGTTTGGCCAAAAAAATAAAACATATTTACCACGTGCAGCAAGTATACCGGGACGACGTTCGAATGTTGTTTTTTATCCCGGTTGTGTCTGTTTTCCAAGTACATACATCTTGTTTTTCCCGAACGTTCGACGAATTCATTGTTATACAAAATAAAGAATGAAAAGAGAAGATACAGGCGGGCAAATATATTATATGTACAACGACGAGACCAATAACCGGCATCCTTTCGTCCGGTTTTACTGTCGTTCTTATTGAAAGTCAAAATGATAATAAAAACGCCGTTTCGCCTTTTTAATATATTATATATATATATATATTATACACACATATAAGTATTGATATTTGAATAAAAAAAAACAAAATATCGCCGCAGTCCAGATATCGTTCCCCATTAGGATTTGGATAAACAGTGGCTAAAACCCTTAGGCCGTACTGTATAATATTTATTTTTCCATATCAACCGTTTGTGTGCACATACCTAATATCGATCAGTATCCAAAATACAACGTGAATAATCTGAAAATGTTCATACCCGTTTAACTTGCCCGACAGTAATCTGATACTTAAAGATACTAATCGTGATGATAACTAAATAAATTATTTTGTTGATTTGTAGTGAAAATTGTTTTTATTGGACAAAATAAAATACGTTCGAATTGACCTGCGTTCTCCACGTCCAAGCACAAATTCTTTACTTAAGTTCTCATTTCAAAAATAACCTCATCTAAGTTTTTCATTGAAAATATAATAATATTACTAATATTTTGTCATATAGTTGAAAATACTTCAATGATATTTTAGCACTGTTTAGTAAATCAATTAAACCTAATAAATATAATATTAAATACAAGTTAAAAAACAACCACTGAAACATTTATGTTAATAATTTGGCATTGCTGTAGCATATATTATATCAGCATTCAATTTGGCGTTCACTGTTAGCAGTCATACACATTTCTTATCATCTACCTTCAGACGAATTTAAATTATCATATAATTGGATTATACTGACTGAATTAATTTAAATAACCAAATCAGTTAAGAACTCGAGATTCAATTTAACAATAACTAATTTTATTTTTTTACCCTTTCATTATAAGTTTTTTATAACTATATAATATATTTTATTTTTTTCTTGAAATTTAAAAATTATTTTAAATATTTTATACAGCGAGTTAAATTTTTATTAGTTTATTGAATACTACTTAAAACTATTTCGACTATAAAAATAATTAGGTTCAAATGCACCGTTAGCAAAAATAAATACTTGATTGCTTGATATTATAGATATAAACAAGAAAATTTGAAAACGACAGGTATTTGAATCTCTATCCGATGTGGAGAGAAAATATCCTATAACTATTTATTTGAATGTTCCTTTTTTACACTCATGCTCCTCGTATACTTGATGGCTTATATGACTCTGAGAATTCATGAATTGCTTTGCTTTTATTACACGATGTTAAGTTTTATGATATACATATTGCCAGTGACAATAACAAAAATAGGTTTTTTTCACCTTTTGCAAAAGTATATACTATTTTTTTGTAAGTGACCCAATTTTGCATGTAGGCAGTTATTAATAATTGCATGAAATGATAATATATAGAGCTGTGTTGATTAGACAGTTCACGTCTTTGTAGCATCATATAACTGTTATAACTTATACTTAAATCGATTTTGTGATCATTTATTAAGAGTTTAACGAATACTAACTAAATAAGTCCACATCGAATATTGATTGTTGATCCCCTAAATTTGAAAATTAGCGTTGTTATTCTTAAATGTGAAACGCGGCGTTAGGTTTTTAATTTATAAAAAAAAAATACTTATAATTTACGGTTAAATAGTTTGGTTGTAATTTATGACGACCGTGTAAAAAAAACACATAATTATTATTAAAAAGACTCCCCGTCGACCACAACGGAAAAGGGGATCTAATTACATTTTAAGGGATCATATTAATTGTTTTTTAGACGTCATATTTAATATCGACGCATGTTATTTTTTATATTTATTAACTTACAATATATTAACTATATCCCGCTTAAATAAATACTGTCAGTTTATTTTAATATAAAATTAAAAAATAATTTACCTTATAATTCAGTACAAACGGATTTTATATATTGTAGAACTTCCTAAGCTATTATATTGTTCTATTGTTACTAAAAAAGCAGTACTAAAATATTTGTCACGCCTTCACGTTAATTAATTCATTTTCCTTTAAACCTCAAAAGGGTTTTGAATAGCAATTATATTTAACTATTATACTAAAGTCTTACGTTATTATAACTCGTCAGATTTACACTAGTTTTTCTCTATTATAATTTACATCAAAAGCAAACTTAAAACCGCCTTTCTTTCGCGTGAACAATAAAAGTTAACAATAAAACATACGAATATAATAATTACTACAATGAGTTTTTCTTTTTTACTTTAACATTAATAATTTTAGTACATCTGTACGCGTATGCATTGTGTAGAGTGCGTATACTAATATGTCTACAGATTAACTGGTTGACGGCAAAGGTATGTTATGTTCGTGAATTTATACAATTAGGATAATTGAATGGCCGAGAGCGGACACGACTGCACAGCCGAGTGGCGGCGGTTGAACGCGAGGATAAAAAAAATAAGTCGTGCAGAATGTAGAAAAGATAACCGTAACATTATACAGTCGGTTTCGTTTTACTTTCTGACGCACCGAGATAGCACTACGAGTAGGTTAGGTATAAATGTGCGTATATATATATATATATATATATATATATAAAGAGAGAGAGGGAGATCAGAGAGGCAGCCGAATATAAAATATATAATATAAGCCAAACGACCCTTTTACCCGGCGACAGTTTTTCGAAGCACGGGGCCCGTCTTACGCCGACATATTGAACCCGACACATTTCCTTGATCTTTTTTTCAACCCCTCCCAAGTTTAGGCTCCAGGGAAAACGTAACTGCGCCGATTTTCGGCTCCGGCAACGCGACACTTTCTGCCGTTGTAAACCCGTTTAGTTAGGCGACTCTATTCGGATTTCGGATAACGGTTATTGCTATACACGACAGTGATTTTTCACCAGCCCAGAAAATGAGCTTTTACAACAACCGAAACGGAACACGAGACGGTCGGTTCCGGGTCATCCGGTACCATGGTATTGCGTACAGTTCGCGCAGGGCGAGCGACTTTTTTCGTTGTATTGATAAATGACTCCTAATCAAATAATTGTCTTGACGGATGACAGTAGTTCACGCGACGACGTCGGGGCGGACGGCAAATATTTCCTTCCGATATTATATTTCGTTGAGTAAATAACATTTTTAGAGACATGCTTATACAAAAAATAAAACAACGCTTCTCGTCATTTATTACAGAAGGCACATCAAATCGAAACAAAATTGAACTATAGTAAAGTATGATTTCGATTCGCTTCGCAGTCTTCGCAATATTTACAAATGGTTCCACAAAGGACTTGTCGTTAAAGAAGTTTAAATTATATTTACAATAGATTATTGATATAAGACAATAACGTTAAATCAAACGGCACGTTGACATTTTTTTTTTTTTTTGTTAAAATGTCAAACTATATAAAGACCGAAAAGGAAAGGATGACATGACTGCGTTAGGGCCCAAATGTCACTTAAAGCAAATCGTTTTCAAAATGTCAAATGGTCTTTGAAAACAAATTTTCCAGCCATCGCAAACCGACGATAATTAATCGATATTTTTTTTTATACTACTAATAGATAAAAGACAAAAGGATTTTTTCCATCTGAATATTTTTCTTTGTCCAACAGCCATTATATACCTATACAACATCCTAATTTATAAGAAAAAGATTATCTATAATTTAGTACATGTGACCGCATGTCAAATGGTGATAACTCTTATTTCTAAACTATGTGTACAACATCTCTACTCGCTTATCACTCGAGTTATACAAGTACAACAGTAGACAGACACTCATCTCTAACCCTCTGAATAACGAAAATTGTTATGTTGTACTGTGTTATTGAAAACGTGACAAAACAAAATTAGTTTTTGAAAGTGGTAAATGAAAAATTATTACTCTATAGTGACACTATTATGACATATTTTCTTGTAGCGAACCGAAATTAGTTTTTAGTTAGTTATTTTAACGTTAATAATCTATTTACAGTTACGAAAGTCGTTTGAGTTCATTAACCGACCAGTTAAAAGTGTTGAAGTTTGTTAGCAAGTCGACCATACAGCCGAAACTTGTGTTTGACAAGCTGTAAAATAATAATACGCATGCAGCTATAGAGTATAGAGTGAATAAATTTGCACAATATAATTTTAATGAGAAAACTTTAAAAGTAAACAAAGACTTTCAATATCTATCGCCGTGGCTGCCATACCAAGAGGACGCCACAATTACTTATAAACATTATTTATAAATATCCTTTTTAAGGGGCGGATGTAGGTGAATAGTTTTTTAGAGCTAAAACTATCAATTGCTATTCGGTATTATCAAAACAGGATAATAGCTAGTTTTTACTTTTTACATCTAAATCATGGGAATGCCGCGTCCATCCTAAAGCCTTACATCGTAATTATTTTTTTTAATGGGCTGATCGTCGTTTAATCGTTGAATGGTGTAATATTTATTCCAGTAAAGACCGACGTCTGTATTTATACATTTTTATATTATATATTATGTTTAGTACCTTATAGACGTATAGTCCGTGTAGGGCAAAATGGTTGTCAACGTGACTGTGTGTATGTGTATATACCGACTGTATAATACGGTGTACTTACAGCTCAAAGGGCTCTTAACGGATTTCTTGTGTTTTTTTTTTTTTTATGCTCCGACTGGCTCCGGATGTTGACGACGTGGAGAGTTGTCGTCGTAAAACCGCCGGTAAAAGTCACGGTACATGTAATGAGTAGAGCGTGGACCAGAAGGGGCGGTTGAGAGAAATGTCCAGGGAGGCGTAAAAAAGTTTAGGTGCCTTATATATTTTATTATTATTATTATTATTGTCGTACACGAGTGGTAAAACAATTTTCAGGGTTTGACAACCGGCGAGAGTGACAACAACAGCATTGCAGTGCGCATAGCCAGCGCCCGCCCTGGGGTTAAACACGGTGCAAAACGCCGGATATTGCGTTTTCCCAGCTGTTGGCGTTATTCTAGTAAGTACATATATATATATATATATTTTAAAACGGGTTCAAAAAAAAAGCGAGAATAAAACGCAGCGACATATACAGACCCACGTGTGTTTCGAAAGAAATTGAAAACTCGTTATATAATAATTTTCTTTTGTACATTGTTATATTACCTACCCTATAACATTTGACGGGAAAACGAAATTCTCAAAGCAATTACGCGTTATATTTTTTATGACATTTTACGATTTTTTTTTTTTGCACTTTGCTGTGTAAAAACGCCGACATCGGTTTATCTGTTTGCATTATGTTGTATCGTATACATAGACTATAGAGGTACTCACATTGAACGACGTACGCTCCGAGTTCGGCTGTCAGTTCTTGAGTGACGGGTATACGACCTTGCAGTATGTCCTGCTTGAGCTGCAGGAAAAACTGATATCTGCAACAATGGGGGAAAAGATGGGAATTAGTATTGGCTTTTCATTGATCACGTCTTATCATAAAATATTATACAAACGGCGATTGGTCTGGGTGTACCAAAATGTATATAATATCAAAAGCACAGCGCGCCAGTAGTGTAAATATGTGTAATTGTATTTTTCGAGGACGTCTCATAGAAGGTCATATCATTTTTATCATAATATATAATTCATATTTATTTAATAAACCAGACATGTCTTATGGCGTTAACGTTGCTAAACAAAACTCACCTTCTGCAAAATATGAACTTATTACACTGCCTCGGGTGCTATGGCATTGATATATTATGGGTACACCAGATAATACAATTTGGCAAAATAACTTATTGGTTTTTGTAAATAGGATGATAAATGTTTGCAAGACATACAAATCATTTTTTTTTTTTCAAATGATATTTAACATATTTGTGTATAGTGTAGTCTCTATTCTCTAAGGTTAACATAATATTTAAAGGGTTTTTTAGGTTAAGGCAAGTTTATTAGCAACGAATCGTTTAAATACTTAAGTGACACGTATTTTTTATTTACTATACAATTAACTATTTAAACTCGCATCAACAGTCATGTGTCACCTTTTACACTACTGATTGCCAAATACACCACTAACATTCATATCGGATGAACTAACAAAGCTCTTTCAACCGCTAGAAAACTATTTTCCAAGCAGCAACAATATATTTTAAGTAAGTAGTTATTTAATTGAAAACCGATAAAATTAAATAACAATATTGTCATATTATTTTTAATACCTTGTCACTATTATATAGACAAGATTATAGAAAGATAATTATTCTAAGCGAATGCAGTTTAAGTATAATGTTATTAAAATAACTAATTGTATTTCATTTAAGTATGACGTACCTAGAAAATTTACTTCTTACAATTAATAATATTTAGTTAAAACTGAAAACTGTTTATGTTATTTTATTGAAAAACACATTAAATATATTTTTTTTTTAATTTCTTTTATCGGCTCCAAATCAAAAAAAAACATTTTGAAAACATCAAACTAATATTTTATACTTCGACCATCGGTCGACCAATGTAAATTTTACAATGTCGTGTGGTATTTTTCCCCGTTCGTATTATAGTGTTCAAAAACCAGAAAAAAAAACGTTGAACGGTCCGAAAAACGAATGAGGCCATAATGTATGTAAATCGTGATAATGATAATATTTGGGATATGTTATAATAATGAAAACATAATTTATCTTTCCATTGCGTTTGGGCGTGCTCGCTTATGCTTTTGGTGGATATGATATTACAGCCATTAAAACAATGTCCTGTGGAATGGACACGATGATCCGTACTATAATAATTATTACTTTACCCCGTTTGTCGGTAATCAAGAATTATATATATATATATATATACATACCCGCATTTAAAACCTTTTTCGCAACATTAATGCGCATACCGACAACATTTTGTACAAACACACACACGCGTGCAAGTATAATAATATACATATCATTATTGTTATTATTTTGAGTTTACCCGAATCCTAAGGGCCAACACGACTGGGTTATTATATTATTACCGTGCGAGGCGATACTAAATTGTAATTATTACTACCCAACGCGATTCATTATGGTTTATTATAATGTATATAGTTAGGGTGTGCGCGGACGGAAAAAAAAAACAAATTATAACAGTTTACCGGTCTCTTCACGTTCTACCGAACATCATGATTATTATGGTATTTTTTTTTTATTTGGGAGGAGTACCTATTTAAAACACCGTGCCCTTTGATTCGTAGGCAGACGTTATAGTTAAGTCAGACGAACAGATCACACGCTACCGAATTGCTCGCACGCACACCAGCAATTTACCGCACGACACGTCGATCATAAAGCATAAACCTGAACCTGTTGAAGTCTGGACATTCTCTAAGTATTCTATACTATGTACGTACACGTACCAATGGTCTACCAATATTCTTAGTTACTTTTATGTTGAATTCTACTATCCCCTCTACCATCGTAAGTATAACTGAGTGTAAGTGTAACTGTACTTAAAGAACACTACTAGGTTTAATTTATATTTGCCCTCGTTATTAACGCTGCGTTTACTATTCAGCCGTATATCTAAACAGTTCAAATATTAATTATTCTAGAATAAATTTATTAAAAGCCATAATTCATTTTTACTTTATTTTTAACCCGTATAGAACCTGTAAATGTAATAATAAGATAATTTAAATTGCCAACATTATTTTTGTACTTTATGTTCTAGTTAATAATCCAGTTCATACTTCAGACAGCACATTGAAAACTATTATTGTCATAAATTATAGCACGGAATATGCGACTAATGTTTAATTTTATTATTATCTGATTTCCTTATCGCCTTGAAACACTTCTTGAACTTCTATCTAATTTAAACCTTTTAAAGAAAAAATGATTAGTTAAAAATATCAAGCCAGATTCGAATTTAGTGAAAAATCCTATGAAATCTTTTAAAAAAACTGGTATTTAATTGTTCGAAAAAATACTATTAAATTAAGCAGACAATTTATAAGCGACGACTAGATCAAACACTAACACATCTTGTTAACACATACAATAGATTAATCGCAATTAGAAACCGTGATCTTTAAAACTGTTTTTAATCTCCCTTCACTTTTTCTTTTCTGCGATGGTGGTATGATGATGATTTCATGCACTTAACGTTTAGAAATGCTCACGATTTAATTTGCATGCAACGACCTGAGAACTGAAAATATTTTACACCCATAAAAAAAATAAAAAATAAAATAATTGCACGTTTTTATAATTCATCGCATTATAATCAAAATACTTTGTTTTAATCTTGATTATTAATTTTAAATTGGAATATTTCCTCAAGAATAAAAAAAAAACGTTTTATCAAACATTATATTTATTTAGACATTATTTGCAATTGTCTAAATTGTATTTTAAAGGTGTTATGGATTTATCAATCCAGTTGTGTTATAAGTAAAGGTTGGATCAGATTTTCGTATGCCATCAACATTATAGATTGATATTTATTATGTGTTAAATTATAAAACTTGTAATGGTTAATATATTTTTTTTATTTATACTCATGTTACATTTCACTATCGTTGTGGTTTCTGTTTTATATATATTTTTTTAATTTTGCCATAAAATATACAAATGTCTGTTTTTATACATTTATTTTAAACCATTGACTTATGTTGAATTGAATTATAAAGCTCGGTTGAGTATTTTTTTTACTTTTTTTACTTCAAAAGCTTCAGGGAGTGTCATTAAAAACTTTCGAAAAAAACCGAACCACCGCGTTTTAAATGATTTACTTTTTATGCACGGATCGTAAATCGTTTATATTTGATCATAAAACGCTCCACGGTATAAAAGTACAACCGTTTTACCATTACATAAATATTCTTAGTTTATCTATTAACAGGATAACACACTTAACCGTGATATTCCTAACTATACAAGAGTACTAAAATCAATCTGTTAGCTTTATCATCATTTTGGTTACGGTCCGGGATTATATTATTTTCTTCAATTTATATGGAAATCGCTTGTCTATACTATATAACGGGTACTTAAAATGTTTATAAGATATAAACATAGACAAGACCGCCGCTTCTATTAATCCCTCGCTTGAATTTAAGCCTTATTGTGTATTTTCTGGAGCAGTATAGATTATTCGTTTGAACGGTCTAGCCGACAGCTTTAACAATTGCTAAGTGTAAGAACAATACTGATAGAACATGCAGTCAATGTCTAATTGATCGAACGTTGAGAAAGATAAAATATAATTTATACTAATTCATATGATGTAACATTTTTACGAATTAAATACTATTAAAAAAGTTCTAGTTTAAAAAATATGTCAACATAATTAGTTATTAGTAAATACTTATTTTATTGATAATTATTCAAAAACATTAAATTTTATATTTTTAATGGTGTTATCTAGTTAAGTTAGACCAGTTAAGTTGGGTGATTATAATTTTGTGTTTTTTTAGTAATATAATCGAAAAAATTTAGTTTATAACTTGTAACATTTTAGTTATATGTATTAGATACTGAAAATTCCATTTTGTTTCAGTGTAATATTTTTTAATATGGGGAATTTGTATAAATAGGGCTAAATGATGTAATATTGTAGTCGAATGGGGGAAATACAAATTTGTAAATTTTTATTTTTATTTATAATTTAATAATTGTTTTTAGAAAATGGGTTTCATTTTTGTATAAAAAAATAATCAAGTAAAATACGAAAGCATTGTGTTTATTGTACATTTGTCCTATTCATTTACAATAATACCTTATTTAATCATTTTTAACTGATTGACTAGTAGAAAAATACTAGCCACAACTGAATTTAAGTTTGATTTTTCAGGTTCTAAGTAAGCTTTGCGTATTATGAAAATTTAAGCACATGTACATTAAATACAATTATAAACATAACATGTATTTTACGGGAAAAAATAATACATATACAGTTTAGTATAGTAATTATGCGTATTCGATTATACCATTTTATGATAATATATTATAGCAACCGGGGAGGACACTGAATGTGCCATTAAGGTCGGAAGGAAAACAAGAGGGTGTTGTATCTAACTGAGGCTGGGAGGGGTCCAATGTGTACGGCCAAAGACGACGATGAAGTAGATAATAATAATAAAGCCGGCTACCCGTATTAATGTTTTTCGTGTTAACCACATTGGCCGGAAGTAAATGGCCATCTCTAGGGATTTTAATCGGTACTGAAACGAAAATTTTGAGAGAGAGAAGGATAGGTCTGAAATTATGAATGATAATGTGCATAATAAAATACATTATTTCGTTAAATAAAAATAAAAATGATAGTACATGTTGTTTGTGTTAAAGCTGTAAGCCAATTTCATAAAGTTATTGTGATCACATTGTAAACGCTCAAGGCAATATTAACTTTTCGAAGTTTTTTCATCAAGCAGAACGATTTCAATTGTTTTTGA